AGGACAGGAAGGTTTAGTTGTGCAGTGGCTGTAGCAGGGTGGCCAGTGGTTTCCAGGAGTGCTATCTGTATGGAGGTTGACTGTGGGAGAGGCAAGACGAGGACTCCTGGCTCTGTGGAGCTAACTCAGTGTCTTTCTCATGCCTTGTTCATGGGCTACAGGGATAGTGACACAGGCATCCCAGACAGGAGGCATACGGTACAAAGTCCTTTGACTCAGTAGTCGTGGAACGACATTCAAGAGATGTGGCCATTTGTGGGGACTTCTCTGTGGCCTCCAGGGAAGATCCTGCAGTCAGCAGCTGGTACTGAGTCAGGCCCCTGATTGTCACCATTCTCCAGGCCCGAGGTCCCATCTCTGCTGAGTTTGTGGGTTCTGCCGGCCCGGAGTGGAGCAGACTCCTCCCCGTTTTGTAGTCATATAGTGACGTCTGCATACAGGGTGAGTCCAGGCCCCCTCAGTGTGGAACCTGATGTCATACAAGGCCTAAGCTGGCCACAGTAGGATTCCTGAGAGCTGCTCTACCGGACACGGAGAGGGACACATCTAAGCGCTCACGTGTCCTAGCTCTTGGGGCCTCACCTCCTGGGGCTTAGGTGGCTTCTACCCTAGATCTACTTTGAAGAAGAGGAGACTGAGGCATGGGCTGCATGGCTGTCCATGGCCAGGTGGGGACAGTGGCAGAAATGACCCAGTTGATATATTGCTGTTTGTCTGTGCAGCTGTTCCTGAGGCAGGGTGGGGCTGGCCGCTTACCCCAGGCCTCCATCCGGCACGTGCCAGCCCTTCTTCCTCTTGAGGAACAAAAGGCTTTCTTGGGCAGAGTGGGCACCAAGCTGGGAGCCAGGGAGCAGGACCAGCTGCTAGGTAATTCAGACACTGCCAGCTGTCAACAGCTACCATCTGTGTCCTCTGGGGCTGATTTGCTGCAAGCTGTTTGTTCGAGACAGAAGAGAGAGGAAAGGCACAGTGTCCTCTGACCTTTGAGACAGGCCATGTGACCTCCTGGGGTACATGGCATCTTTGTGCCTCAGCTCAGGCCACTACATAAGAGAAATCAGGTTCCCAGACTGAAACCTCACTGTCTGGTATGGCAGTGGTACTGTGTGACTGACCACAGTTCTTCAGAACACTTGTGATGGAGCCCAGTGCCTTGGCTTCCCATCTCTACAGGAGAGCAAATGTCACCTCTCACCATGCTACTCCCTCCTGAGGTGGTCTGTGTACCTACAGTGTGCCTGAGGTTAGGCTTGGGGTTCCCCCCTTCCTGAGGTCTAGAAAGGACCCCCATGCCTAACTTGAGCCTGGTTGCTCACTCTCTACCTGAGGACCAGGACCTCAGCCTGGTCTTCAAGAAACAAAAGAGTCAGGGCCTATGAGGAGAACTGTACGGTGTAGGCTGCAGGCATGATCAGGAGCCCTGAGGCCCAAAGCAGGTGCAAGAGAGCAGAAGCAGGCAGAGGAATGAGTGGCCTCATCTGGGCCTGCAGAGAGGGTTCTATGAGTTGATAAAGGTGCTCTCACGGGTGCCCGGTGACAAGCTGACAGGGTCTTTGGCTAATGTCTCCGTACTCCACTCAGGAAGTGCTGGTCCTTGTTGGGCCAAGCCTGAGACATTTGGAAGTGTGTGTATATCTAAAGGTCATTGTCATAGTGACTTGAAGGACACACTGTGCTAGAGCAAAAGCCAGTAGATCCTAGGATCTTCTGGGTCCTTGTAGTAAACACTCTGACTCCAGCATCTGTTCTGCCGCTTACAGTTCTGGGTCAGAGTTCTGAGGTGGCTCATCTCTGTCCCACGAGGCACATACTAGGTCACCCAAACAGTGAAAGCCAGGCTGGGTCCTATGGTTGCTGTGGAGGCCACAGTCGCTCTTTGAGCAGCATAGTTGGGCCTTTCTTCATGGTGGGCAGTTCCGAGAGGGCACAGAGGGGTGGCTCCAGGCTCCCTCAGTGACCTCATCCCGGAACTGGAAGTGCAGAATGTCACTTCTGCCACATTATCCTATTCTGAGGAGGTTCAGGCTGGTGAGAGGATGCTGAGGAAAGGGGACCTAACCTCATGGGTGGGCAGTCGCATGAACAGGGGACCTGGGCTTTACCCTTTCTTGGAACACACTCAAGCTAGCAAACAACAAAGAGAAGATCCTTGTAGGTGTCTTTTTATTCTTACCTAAGGAACCTGGCATCAGATCCTAGGAGGTCACTGGGGTCACTGTCACACTGTGTTTGGTCTGGAGTCTAGTGCAGCAGACAGCTAAAGGGATATAAGACAGGGTAAGCATCACAAGGGCCATACCTCAGGGTGGACATCTGGCTTCCTGGGATGGGGGTAAAGATCAGAGTTTGGAACTAACAAAAGGTGATATCACAGCGTTTCTCAACCTGTGGGTCGTGACCCTTTTGGGGGAGTTACCTAACACCTTTGGAAAACACAGATATTTACCTTATGATTAATAACTAGAAAAATTACAGCTATGAAGTAGTAACAAACTAATTTTATGGTTGGGGGTCACCACAACATGAGAATCTGTATTAAAGGGTCACAGAATTAGGGAGGTTGAGAAATACTGTGGTACTGTTTTAAAGGTCATTGCTACATGCTAAAGAGTATGGACGACATCTCCCATGTGGAGGCATGCTAGGTGGGGCAGGCATGTTTAGGGAGCCCTTGGTGATTCTGACAGCCTTGGGCAGGTAGGTAGGACAGAGAGGACAGGGTAGGAGATAGAAATGTATCCTGGGGAGGCCTTATCCCTGGATTATGAGGTCCCTGGAAGAGGTATATCCTTCGGGGCTATAGACGGGGTGGCTAATAGGGATGCCATATGGGCATTTGGGCCCCAGGTTGGTAGCTGCTAGGTTCCTGGGCCTTGTCTGGCTGGTTGCATCCCCTGAGGGGAGCCTGATACCTCATAGATGAGGCCGTGGTGGGTGGAATGCAGGCCGGCTCCACTCCCTTCGGTAATGTGGTTTTTTATAGTCGGGGGACTGATTGTCCTGCGGCTTCTGCCAGCTGCCAGTAAGCTCAGGATTAGAGGATTGGCCTTCCATAAGAGCTGGGGCCAGACTGACGGAGCCCTGCAGTGGGTGGGGTGGTAGATGGGACAGGACCAAGCACAGGATGCTTTGTGTGAACCGGCCAGCAGATGATGGCCAGCACAGTTCTTGGCTTGTAGAGCCACCAGGGCCTTTCAGAGCCAGTGAGCTCCAGAGGTGGCCTCCTGGGTGGGCATCAGGGTAGCTGTCCACTTCCACTCCACACCTCACCTTTTCTCTTGGTCCACAGGACCCTGGTGTAGAACCAGTTCTGTGGTGCTGGGCAGTGTCCCCGTGGCCTCTCCCCTAGGCTTGAGTCTGTCTCTTGCTTGCTGTGAGTTCCATTTGCTTATCTCTAAAACCAAAAATGGTTTAAGACATCACTAAGCTTTAATAATTGCAGATGCTGTTACTGGGGTGGCCACACAGGGGCACAGCAGCCTGTGTGTCTTAGGACTAGCTGAGTCCCTGGCATCCACAGCCTCGTGTTCAGCAAAGATGGAGTGTGACCTGGATGCAGGACTTTTAGTGAGGGGACTTCTCAGCTCTTACCCAACCATACAGAGCTGTCCCTGCCTTCTGTTCCTGAGAGTCCTCCTGCATGGACCCTGCTTGCCTTTCTTTGGGCAATGGCAGAGGCCCGGAGCAGAGAGATTCTTGTGTGGTGACACACCGAGTGTCCAGGCCCGTGGCCTTAGCTCAGCAGGTGGGTGCAGCCAGCCTGGCTGGGCGCTCATTCACTCAGCCAGGGATGGACTTCATTCACCCTTGGTGGAGGCATGGCCCAGCAGGAGGGCCGGCCCGGTGCCTGGTGGCAGATGGCCTGGGGGTGCCCTTCGTGCTGACTCATCGCCCTGGGCTTCTCTGGGCACAGAGGCTCTGAGCACCTATGTGGTCGCTCTGCCCAAGTGACCCTGGGCTGATTGCATGCCATTCCTTCCTTCTGCTGAGTGGACAGGTGGGGCAGAGTCAGCTCTGGGACATATGTGCTACCTCAGGGGTTCATCTTTACCCTTTGACCTCCAGAAAAGGGAGAGGTCACTCAGTGTCGGGGATATTGCTCAGAATGACAGCTAATCATTTGTGGAGTGATCACCCCACACTGTGCCACAATGGGACACATATCCATGGGTGACTTGGCACAGCCCTGAGTGAGGATCAGAGTCAGTGATGACTAAACTGAGGTGACAGGCTGAGGGGCTGGAGACTCCAGGAGAACTCCCAGAAGCGCCTCCCTTGTCATTAGCATGGGCTGGGGGAAGAACCTCAGGAAGCCTGGAGGTCAGAGGGTGGCCTGGCCTGAGTGTCTCCCCACAGGAGGTACATGCAGCAGGTTGGTCAGCATCCTTTTAGGAGAAATAGTCTTGGCAAGTCAGGACAGGATGCCCTCACGAGGTGTGGGACCCCTGTGCTTGGGCCATGCAGCACTGTCTCAGAAGGACACCCGGCTGGCATTTTGGCACAAGTTTTCCTGCCAGTCTCTAGGCATCACTAGAGAGACAGCAGCCAACTTGGCACCCTGGGCACACATTGTTGCAGGTGGAGAAGATTGCTGCTTTGGCTCAGTTCCAGACAGGCTAGGATGGTACGGATCTGGTACCCAAAGCTGGTTCTGTGTGGAGGCATTGATGGGCTCGCTAAGCAGCAGAAGAGATACAAGGGCCCTGGGGCTCTGGGGCTCTGGGGCTCTGGGGCTCTGGGGCTCTGGGGCCCTGGGGCCCTGGGGCCCTGGGGCTCTGGGGCTCTGGGGCTCTGGGGCTCTGGGGCCCTGGGGCCCTGGGGCTCTGGGGCTCCAGGGGCCCTGGGTGTGTGGCTTCATGAAGTTGTATTAAGTCACTTGATTTGGGCTGGGGATTTCACAGATTTCATGTACCAGATCTTCAGACCTACTCTGGGTGTCTCTCCAACTCCTGCTGGAGCTGGCTGACCAGCCCCCATGTCTCTCTGTCCTTCCTCTGCAGGGGCTGGAGTCTTCTTCTTGTCCTCAGCTGAGGGAGAGCAGATCAGCTTCCTGTTTGACTGCATTGTCCGAGGCATCTCCCCGACCAAAGGCCCATTTGGGCTTCGGCCAGTTCTCCCAGGTATGTGTGGGAATGTGCAGGGAAGGTACACTTGCTGGTCCAGAGACGGGTAGCCTGCTTCATCAGCCTAGTGAGGTGGTGTGCCTTTTCCTATCCACGACTGAGAATCCTACCATCCACTGGGCTGGGACCTGAACACTCTAAGCCCTGGGATTCCTAAGGGGGTTAGCTGGCAGGTCTCAGGCCTGGCTCTCCTGTAATTGCCCTTCTTCCATGGACATGGGTCACTGGGAGACTAGGGCCTGCCGCCTTTTAGTTGAGCCGAGTGAGCCACAGCTGCAGGGGCTGGGCAGTAAGGGGGCCAAGACCCTGGAGACAGAGCAGAGAGAGACTGGTCCTGGGTCACCAGTATGTGGGCAGCTGATCTGTCTCTGCAGCTAGGTGTCAGCACCAGGGCGTCTGAGCCTGGCACTTGGTCTAGGAGCTACTCTGTGAGGTTATCTGGTGTGTGTGTGTGGTTCAAGGTATATTTGGTGTGGCCTCTATTGAACATGCCTCTAAGCCTACCCCTAATCCCTGTGTGGCCAAGGGCATCTTAGCCAGGTAGAATGCTAGAAATAAGGGCTCGTGGCCTTGACACTGAGGGACCCAGAACATATTCTGGCAGGCCCTGAGTTGGGGGTCTCATGTGGATGATTCTCAATAAGGACAGTGTCCAGGTGTGGGCACACATTGATCGCCAAAAGCTCCCATCTGCTGTGTCCTTACATGGTCATCCTGCCAGGGCAGGGGATACAGTTTCAAATGCTGAGACAGGTCCATGGGCACCAGGCTCTCTATATCTGCCCACCCCTAGAGCAGCTAGTGAGATAGCTGCTAGAAAGTCTGAGGCCTTCCCTGTGGTCAGAGTGCTCCTGCTGCCCAGGAGTCTAGGCAATGTGGCGTCACCCCCTGCTGGTAGCTTTTTACATTGCAGCTGTCCATATGCAATGTGAAGGGGCTATGCTAGGGGGCCACCAGAATGTCAGGGTATCCGGGGACCATGCTTTTCTCCCAAAGCCACACATTTTAGAAGTTTCTTGGAGCATATTCACTCCACAGCTAACCCTGGTGTGTATGCTACTGTTGAGGCACCTGGGAGCAGGACCTGGGTTTTTGGGGTACCCACTCTCCTGCTTGTTTTATAAATGGTTCTGGGTGAAGGGAATATTGGACACAGCACTGGGCAGAGGAAGGCACAGATGGCTCATCTTGGAAATGAGTTGTTCCCTAATACAGGTAGGGGGTAGGCTGTGCCCAGATAGGGCCATTGGTGACTGTTGGGGCATTCCAGACCTGCTCCACAGCTGGCCCTGTCAAATCAGCTGGGACTGCTCAAAAAACTGCCTCTGCCAGGGCCTGAGTCTGCAGGAGTTGTGCCTAGATGTCTTGCCTCAGTACTGGGGCCTTGGGTCACCCAGGCATGCTAACTGTGTGGATTATGGTTAGTGTCCAGCTATGGCAGTTGTGGAGCCCTACAAGGTTGTGGAGCCCCACCATGCAGGGAGGGGTTGTGAGAGGACAGGGCCTCTGGGGATGGTGTGAAATTAAAGTCCCACAGCTGTGAGAGGCTCCTAAGATGCACACTTTTGAGCAGGGCCCCACTCTAGGTTTGCTGGTGTGCTATTGTGTGGAGTCTCTGTGATCAGACCCACCAAGGCCTCAGTCTTCAACATAAGGACCCAGCACCTAGACAGGGCAGCTGGGAAGGGAAAGAGCAAGGAAACTCCTGCTCTGAGGACAACATTCTGATGTTTTAGCAGCCCTTTCTAACTGGAGGAAGGGGGAGGGACTACTGCAAGAGGCTTGGCATTCAGAGCTCAGGAAGCCCATGGCAGCATATGTCAGTCATAGAAGCCACCCTCTGGGCTCTCTGGGGCCACCTGTGCTCCAAGGTATTTTTGAAGGAAAGAGGGATGCTACTGTGAGCTTAAGGGGGTGGCAGAGTCTACCATACAGGGTAGATTGTCTATGTGGCAGTGGCTGTGCAGGGGACATACACAGGGCCAGAGGGGCAGGTCCCCATTGCTTGCAGCCTGGCTGCCTCTCAGCCAAATGTTGGCATTGTCAAGGGCCCTGGATAAGCAGTGTGGATGCGGGCAAGGAGGACTTTACATGAGCACCCCAGCAGAGACACAGCGTGCATGAGGAGGACAGGGAACAATCTTCTTGCTGTCACTTATGGTGGTCTAACTCAGGGATGACAGATGGAGAGGGGCCCGGGAGCCACAGGCAGTGACAGAAATATGGAAGCATTTCATTCAGACCAAAGTGGGGGGAGGAATAGTGTGTTGAGCCAGGGCCAAGCAAACCTCTCCTGGATCAGGGGAGCTGTGGGATTGAGGAGGTACTGTTACCAGTGAGGGGAGGCTTGCTCTGCTGAGGGTGGGGAAGAGTGGTCTGGTTGTCTTAGTGGGGACTGTTGCAGTGACAGGGACCCAGGCTGGGCAGATACAGGTCTCTCCTCAGGGACAAGAATCCAGGATGGAGGTTATCCACAGATAAACACCTGTGCTGGACAGATAGGGAACCCACTGCAGGGAGAGAGACTCAGGCCAGGCAGTTCAAGAGCATGTCCACAGGAACAGGAACATGGGCTAGGCAGATGCAGAGACCAGGGCTTGGCATCTAGGAAGCTAGAGATGCTGATTTAGGTATCCTGTAGTTGATGCTTAGCCGCTGGGCAAAGGCATGGGACAGGGCTGGGCCTGCTAGGGGCTAGCTCAGAATGCCTTGCCTGAAGATTCTGTACTCCCCAGGTGTTCTGGTGGTGCAGAGGTGGAATGTAGAGGTGATGCAGGGGTGGTGTGCAGGGGGGTGTGCAGGGGTAGCGTGCAGGGTAGTGTGCAGGGGTGGTGTGCAGGGGTGGTATGGAGGGGTGGTGTGCAGGGGTGGTGTGCAGGGGTGAGGTGCAGGGTGGTGTGCAGGGGTGGTGTGCAGGGGTGGTGTGTAGGGGTGGTGTGCAGGGGTGGTGTGCAGGGATGGTGTGCAGGGGTGAGGTGCAGGGGTGAGGTGCAGGGTGGTGTGCAGGGGTGGTGTGCAGGGTGGTGTGTAGGGGTAGCGTGCGGGGTGGTGTGCAGGGGTGAGGTGCAGGGTGAGGTGCAGGGGTGAGGTGCAGGGGTGAGGTGCAGGGTGAGGTGCAGGGTGAGGTGCAGGGGTGGTGTGCAGGGGTGATGTGCAGGGGTGGCATGCAGGGGTGGTGTGCAGGGGTGACGTGCAGGGGTGAGGTGCAGGGGTGAGGTACAGGGTGAGGTGCAGGGGTAATTGTTGCGTCACCAATCCTTTTCTCTGCACAGACCCGAGTTCTGGGGGACCCTCAGCCTCAGAAGAACGTGTAGCCCAGGAAGCACTGGAAGCCCTGCAGCTAGAGAAGAGGCTCAGCCTGCTGTCACACTCTGGCCGGCCAGGCAGTGGAGGTAGAGTCAGTGGTTAGTCTTGTCCTGGCTGCAGGGACCTCTCTCTAAGTACTGTCCTCCCCACTCCACTCTGGGCTGTGCAGCAATCTGTCTGCATGGACTGTTGGGGTCCCCTTGTGTCCACACTCATGACCCTTCTGACCTGTGCATGTAGCTATCATCCATCAGTCGTGACTTTTCCCTCTTGTTCACTCCTTCTTCATCCACCCATCCATCATCTACCTATTATCCATCATCCATGTATCCATTATCCATCCACCAACCATGCTTCTATCTGTCCATCCATCATCCATCCATCTATCATCCATCCATGTATCCATCCATCATCCATGCATGCATGCATCTCTCCATCCTCCATCCATCCATGTATCATCTATCCATTCATCCATGCATACATCTCTCCATCCTCCATCCATCCATCCTCCACCCATCGTTCCTCCTGCTCATGCATTCATTCTGTCTCCACCCACTTAGCCACTCATTACTCTCGTCCTCACTCATTCTTTCTTCTCCCTCCTGTTCATTCATTTAGCCTCTTTTCATTCATTCATACACTAACCATGTGGCCTAGGCAAGCCCCAAGCCTTCTGTGATTTAGTTTTACCGTTTTTCTGACAAACTGCTCAGAGGCTAACAGAGCTGGCTTCCCAGGAGCAGAGGCCCTTCTACAGCTACTGTCAATGGGAACACGGATGGAAGCCCAGCCAGGGGCAGCTGTGGCTGAGGGATGGAGGCTGGCTTGGCAGAGGGAGTGTACCAGGTCTTCCTAGGCCAGAGAAGTACTGTCTGGTGCCTGTCCCCATTCCTAGGGGTGCACAGCGGGGCAGTGGCCCTCTCGCCTCCCAACCCCTCTCTCTAGAAGTAGGGGTTCTCAAGCCTGCAATACGCTTTCTTATCTCCTTGGAAGGTTTTTGTCTGGTGTCTTGCTCAGGAAGCCCTGCAAGCTAGGCCGGGCAAACTGAGAGGAAAAACAAAGGTAGCATTTTATTTTCCATGCACACAGGGTGAAACAAGGTAGTCCTGGCAGGGTGGGAGGGTGGTGGACAGGATCTGATCCCAGGCAGGTTCTTGTCCTCAAATCCCATAGTTCCCATGACGAGAGGAGGCAGTGATGGGGTCAGAGGAAAGGGCAGGCTGGATGGGGCAGTCTGGCATGTGACCATACTGGGATGATGAAGGGGGGTGGGTTGCCCCAGGCCTTGGCTGGGCTAGAAGGTGGCCAGGAAGGTAGTCACAGTAGTTGGACTAGGAGGGGCGGGGGGAGCTCAGGAGCTAGGTCATAGATCCACAGCACGAAGAGGCTGTGAGGGGACTGTAGATGAGAGGGTGGAGTCCAGGTGGAGAGGCTCAGACTGGGACCAAGGAAGTGACTGTCGGGGGTTGGGGGGAGATAGAGGCTCTAAAAAGGCTGGCATTGAAAGTGGAAGGGGCTGGATGAGGAAGAGTCCTGCAGACTCTGGCCTGCTGCTCCAGCTTCCAGGTATAGGGATGAGGGAGAAGTGGACTGCCATAGCATGCTAACTAGAGACCATTCCTCACCTGCTTGGACCCCACAGCAGCCTCAGTTTCTGCTTTGTCTCAGGGGATGACCGAAGTCTATCCAGTTCCTCTTCCGAGGCCAGCCACTCAGACATCAGTGCCAGCAGCCGACTCACTGCGTGGCCAGAGCAGTCCTCATCCTCAGCCAGCACGTCACAAGAAGGACCAGGGCTGGTGGCTGCCCAGGGCCCAGGAGAAGCCATGCTGGGAGCCTCAAGGCCACCCCTCAAGCCACTGCGGCCTCGGCAGTTACAGGAGGTTGGCCGCCAGAGCTCCTCTGACAGTGGCATAGCCACAGGCAGCCACTCCTCCTACTCTGGCAGCTTCTCATCCTATGCTGGCAGCAACCTGGACGTGTGGCGGGCCGGAGAGGAATTCGGTTCTCTACTCAGCCTGCCTCCTGGAGCCAGCGCACCTGAGCCCAGACTGTGTGCTTGCCCACCTGGGGCGGCCGAGTACCAGGTGCCCACTTCATTGCGACACCACTATGACACACCTCGAAGCCTGCTCCAAGCCCCCAGAGATCCAAGCTCAGCTTCTCAGGGCAGCTCTGACCACAGTTCAACCACAGACTTGGGTGGTCAGGCACCTACAGGGAGTTCCTCCAGTTGGCTGGGAACTCAACGACGGGGACAGGCAACGGAAGGCCCAGGCAGTGAAGCTGTGCTGCCCACTCCATCCCCTGGCGAGTCCTGGGAAGCAGGCAGCCCCCATACAGGGCCATCTCCAGCTTTCTTTTTGTCATGTTCAATCTGTGGCGGACTCAAGGTAAAGCCCCCTCCCTGAGATAGCAGGCTAGCCGCTGCTGCCAAGAGCTGGATACGGCCTTCAGACAGGGGAGGAGGGCCCTAGCCTCTTTGCAGAGGAGGTGCTCTGTGCTGTTTTAATAAGCCACCAGAACTGTAGCAAGGACCTCAGGGGCAGGGTGACAAACAGGGCTGTCCTCCCCTAGATGGGCGCCATGGCTGCCAGTGCTGGAGGCAGGTCAGGTTGAGGTCAGGAGAGCCCCTGATCCAGCCTTTCCAGGATGTTCTCACCCCCTGGACCAGGCAGAAGTCTATCATGCCCATAGGGATCCTGCTATCTATTGCACTGCTGGGGGCAGAAGATCTCCATGGCTGGGGTCAGTTCTCAGTGACAAGGCTTGGCTTGGTCCACTGCCCTCCTCCTGGATAAGTGACCCTCTGTCATTGGTCATTTCTGCAGTATACAGACACAATTCCTATTCAAAATCAAACCTCCCATGGCTCCTCCAGACTCCCTAGTCTGTGAGCTGGCAGCTCTGTGTATGCAGCCTACAGATCGGGCACAGTCTGTATGTGATCGACTTTGCACATCACCCTGCGGCTCCCACAGGTGGGATCGGTGTCCCGTCCCACGGGGAGGAAACTGACGCTCAGGAGGCTCCATGACTTGCAGGGTCTCTGACATTGACCCTCACCCTCTGCACTGCAGATCAGTCTGCTCCTGGGCCCCCGGAGGGCTCTGAGAAGTGGGCTGCCTGACAGGAGTGTACATCACCCCCAGAGGCTGAGTTTGCCCAGGGTCCTGAGATCAGTTTGCTGGAGGGTCTCTTGCAGAACCTCCTAGTAGTGTTCCCCTGTGTGCCTTCTTGCTGGGACCAGGAAGCTGGTGGCCAGGACCAGGTGGAAGAAATAAGGAGGGCTCTGACCCTGCCCACAGGTCACCCTGGCTCTGTGCTTGGGTGTCTACAGGCACAGAGCAGAGGTCCTCCACTTCCCCGTGTCAGAGGGTTGGTGTGGCTGTGCCCGCCTCTTAGGCGTCCCTCCATTGGCACCTACAGTTCCGATCTGGCAGGCCAACTCACCTGTAAATGCCTCAATCTGTACCTGCATTGCGGCCAACCATGTTGCTCTATTGCGTTTTTAAAATCTGTTTGTAATACATTCTCAGACTGGAAATAAAGTTATCTTTTCTTACTGCCTTGCCTTGTTCCATTTGGCCCACCTCCCCACCAGGCCTGGGACTGAGGAAACTCCAGGGCCTTGGCCCTCAGCCTGAGGTCTGAGTGTTGGGGATGTGAGAAAGAGGACCAGCGGCTTTGGATAGACCCTGGGGCTGAAGACATGGTGTGGAGGGGGGGAGGGGCGTATAGCCATATAGTGTTTTATCTTCCCATGCTGGGCTTGCTCTGAGCTCAGTCTCACCCAACCCCTAACCCAGCCCAACCCATTTCATTTTCCCTGTTCAGAGAGTGCTCCAGGGAGCAGCCTGCCTCTTCCCATTCTTGCTGGTAGCCCTGCTAAAAGTTGGGAGCCTGGCTCCCCCAAACTTCTGTGTAGGGAAGAGCGGGATTTGGCGCTTGGCCACATTCACTACCCACTGACTGGGTGGCTCTGCAAGTCACCATACCTCTGGGAGCCTCAGTTTCCTCCTCGGTCGACGGGAAATCGTCTCACCTCATGGGCTGGCCTGAGGGTCTGATGGGATCCCTATATAAGCATCCCGCTCACGTGTGTTCGCTAGAGGGAGTCAAGTATTCTTGCCAAAGGTCTGAGATTGCAGATCCTGGGACCAGGGAGCCAGCGGCTGGTCAGCCAGAGGGGCAGGCACGGCCCTGGCCTGAGCCCTTTGTTCTCTGTACTTAGCTGTCTGTACTTCCAAAGGTCCTTCCTGCAGCAGGAAGAGGAGCACCCAGGTGGGCAGTGCTGGAAAGGTCAAATCCATGCTGTTGCAGCTTGGATATCCACCTGCTACCTGAGAAAAGCTGGCCTAGGCCCTGAACCTGGGTGGGGATTGGCCTGGGGGCAAGAAATCCTCACTTCAGGAAGAAAGGAAGTACCATGACACACTGAGAGAAGGTGGAAAGTCCCCAGGGAAAGGCCATTCCAGACTCTTCTCCTGTCCAGTCCATCCCTCAAGACATATAAATAAGCCCCAGCAGTTTGCAAACACATAGGTGGCGAGGGCTCCGTCTACAACCGTGCCGTCACCAGCCATGACCCTTCTAAAGTCAGGGGTCTGGAGACAGTAGGGCCTGGCCTCAGACCTCCCTCTGGACACAGCACACCGGGGGGTCTAAGCTGAATGTTTTTCTTGTCCCATTGTGGTCTGCCCATGCCCAGGGTCTAGTGTTGATCCTGTAGCCATGGCTCTCCCTGAGCAGATGCCCTGTGTGGGGACTGTTGAGGATTTGGCCTTTTGCTTAGTGACAAAGTACACCCTCAGATGTCTGTATGTGTTGTCTCTAGGGTGTCCAACTCTCATCCTGGGGACTCTTACACTTTCTTGAGTCCCCAAGGCTGCACTAGACTGTTATAAACGGTGATGCAGTTTGATCTTCGTGCTCTGCCCAGAGACATCCCTACCTGTACCCTGGGCATGTCACCATCACTCTCAAAGCTTGTCTGAACAGTGCTAGCTGTGAGTTCCTCCTTCCCTCTCATCATGAGGTTCCACTACCAAGTTGCTCCTTCAGAATCACTGGGATTGGGTGACTCTGTGGTTACCTGCTCTGACTGGTCCTTTCATAGCAGGTGCTTGGGATGTTTGGAACCCTGGGCTGTCAACCTCTCCTTTCTCCCCGCTGATGTGGGGAGGTCTGTGCATGAGAGGGTGACTATGCTCAACTGTGGTCCTCCCCATCCTCCTGGGCAGCTACTCTAAGTTCTTTCCTCTCATGATCTGTTTACTCTCCAGTCAGGCTCTGCCTGAATCAGAGGCCTGGGACTCATTCCAGGGTTGGGGGGGGCTGTTTGTCTCACCTGTGGGCTCCCAGGAGGGCTCTGTAAGGCATGGGACAGCAGACCAGGGACAGAGAGTGAACTCTGTGATCACCGTGGGCTATGTGGTCATGCTGTTCTACAATCATTTGCTATTCACGTGAGGGGTAGTAGGGTCTAACTGGGGGGACCCTCATTTGTAAACTTCCTCAAAAGAACCCTGGCCTCAGCTGTCTCTTGGACTGTCAGGTCTATGAGGTTTAAGGACAAAGGGCTCTGGAGGATGAGGCTGTGTCCCTCTGGGTTACAGGTGGTCCAGATCCTCAGACCTATGTGATTTTTGGAATTACCATTCCATTTCGTGGGGCTCGGGTAGGGTGAAGGGTACGTGGGATGTACACACTGACCCGTGTTGTCTTTGGTCTAGGTCATGGCTACTTCATCCCCTGGACTCACTGTGATGCATCCAGGTAGGTACCTGGCTTTGGACCCCAGCACTCAGTGCAGCAATGGAGGGTTTGGAGTCAAGGGGATATCCCTGTTGGATGGGAAAGGGTGTGAGCAGTGGAGTGACAGTGGCGTCTGGGGAGTCTGGAAGAGGTGAGCAGGGGGAGGTGTTGAGCTGAGGACAGATGAATGGTCTGAGACATGACTGGGTGGACAGGAGTGGACAGTGGATAGCCAGATCATGGTCTGTAGCTCAGGAGTGACTTCAAGGGTTAGGTCCAAGCCCTAATTGTGTACCAGACAGCAAGGTACACAGGACAAGGAAACTGGCCTAGGGGTTTCAGCTTTTCAGGACGGGTTTGTGGAAGAGGTGGGAATGTCAGAGGACTCAACCAGGATGGGAGAGCCCTTGGAAGAAGCCTGACTGTCAGCAGAGGAAAGCTGGAGAGGGTGGCCCTGACAAGGGCAACCTGGGAGGATTGGGAGAAGATATAGGTCCTGGGTGGCTGGCCCTGGGCCAGGTGACTGGATGCCAGAGATGTCCCTCACCTTGTCTCCTTATCAGTGGGTACCACAGATCCCTGGGTCTCTTTTTCAGAGCTGAGTGGTAGCTTTAGAAGGCCCTGTAGGTAAGATAGAGCCCAGTCAGACCCAAGAAGGCAGTGTGGTAGGAAGCAGTGGGTGGGGCCACAGGCAGGCAGAGTCTACACACTGGCCAACAGAAGAGTCCCAGTCCCATCCGTGGCTGGGGTTTTATGTCTCGGTTGCTCAGCCTGAATTCTGGGTCCATGTGGTACCTTTGCTCCAAGGTCCTCCCCGATGTCACAGAGTAGTAGGGTTGCCCCTCACTGTTCAGGCATCTACCTCTGCTCACCACTTCACTAAGGCTGGCAATACCTTACTTTGATATGGTGGATACTTCACCCCAGGATCAAAGGGGCAGAGATGGAGGAGGCATCACTTGAAGACAGGGTCACCTCCTTCTGAGGGCAAGGGTAGGGTCACATGGGAGGTGGGACCTTGACTCTGATGAGGGACATGTGAATTTGCTCTGGACCAGACTTGGGCCAGAGACATGCCAGATTATAACATGTGATCAGCCTGCAGCTGCAGGAAGGGAAACAGTCAAGCAATAATATCTCATTGTCTGTTGCTTTCTACTTAAGTTATTTGAGTCCTAAAATGATGCTGGCCAAAGCTAAAACTGAATTAAAGTACCAGGAAGGACATGAGGCAGAGGAGACCCACACCTTCCTGAGCAGCTGGTCATGCCTCCTTGGGAAGATGGCGAGTTTAGCTAGAGAGGAGGCACCTCATGGAGTCTAAACAGCAGCTCTCTGGCCTAGGACTTTGGATGTCAGTTGGTTCTGAACCTTCCATCTATCTCCCTGAGTCTAGGCTTCAGGTTTCTCCTGCTTCTCCTTGTTCTTCTTCAACTCACTTGTCCAGACAATCTTGAAAAAAAAAATGGATCCAATCCAAAGTACCCAGACTTGGGAAACATATTCAAGCCCACCGAGACATGGAGCCTAGCCCGAACTCTCCCTCTTCTGCCTTCAAAGGCTCCATGCTGAGGTCTGGCCTCTCCAATCTCACTCTGAGACACTGGGGCTCCTCCATCCAGACCACCACCAGAGCTTCCCTGTCATGCCCTCTCCTCCTTCCTTAGCTATGCCCCTTTTCCCGCTTGCCCACCCAGTCCTGGGAAGGCCTGCTGGGGGCATTTCCTTGCTGCTTGACTGGCAGTGCAGGCTGGTACTAGCTCTCCCTCCACCCTGCTGGCTGAACCTCCTTGGGGAGGTTTTCTTTTGTTGTGGATTCTCTGTGGTACAAATGCACCAGATTCTCAGAAACCCTTCTCCTCAGATCAGAGATTTCCTGGGGATTGGAAATGCTGAGCCTGCCTTTGCTTGCCAAGGGCTAAGACAGGACGTTCTGTGAGCAGGCAAAGTCAGCCCTCTGATTTGAGGCCAGTAAATGGACATCCCACGTGGCCCTGAGCAGTAGATGAACCTCACCATAGCTTGGACAGGACAGGACTTTCAGATCTCCAAGGACATGCACTGTGTAGTAGGGGTCTGCCCTGGAGTCCCCAAGGCTGGGGAATGGGGACAGAACTGATCACTTGATTCAGTTCGTAGTCAGTGTGCACCCCCACAACCCTGGGGTCTCATCTGCCTGTACTGGCTGATGGATTTGTGACTTGGGAACTTGGGGCCTCTCTGCCTTGGTCTCTCTGTGAAGAGCAAACTGTTGCCACCTACCACCATAGCCATGTTGGCATCAAGGATGGGGAGGAAGTCGTGACTGAAATCATGGTGGTCATGGCAGGGTGGTCAGGATCCCTGAGACAGAGAGGCAGTCAAACCTCTCTCTGAATATGGGATGCAGAGACAAGCTTTAC